GCGTCCGGCCCGCCCCGCCCCACTGACACCGCGGCCTCGCTGAACAGGCTGCGCGCCTGAGGGCCGCATCTAGAGCGTCCGCACCAGTGTCGCTGGCGGCGCTGAGACGGGCGGCCGGGAGAGGGTGGGGACGGCGGCCGCGAAGGGCTTCCCGGTGGCCCTGTGGGAGTGGTGTCTGCCGCTGGAAGGAGAGAGGAAGAGGAGCAGAAGGGGGCAGTAGCGGCCACCGCTAACGGCCTCAGTCGGCGCTGACAGGCGGGGCCAGCTCGCTCGGGAGTCCCCGCCGCCGCCGCCGCGTCGCTCCTCCGACGCCGGGCCGGCTTCGCAGAGCGCGCGGGGCGGAGGGCAGCGAGGGCCGCGCCGCGCGGGGAGAGGCCCTGCCTGCCGCCGCCCGGGATGTGACGCGGGAGGCCCCCTGGGGCCAGTCTGGCGGACGGTCGGACCAGCGCCTGCTGTGGGGGCTTTGCGGACCTCGGCCGCCGGAAGGCGGGGTGGGAGCAGCCCCTGCGGGCCTGGGGGCACACCCGTGCAGCCGGTGGGTGTCATCACTGCCCTGTCCCTGGGTGAGGGGCAGCCGTCGTTCCCGTCCCCTTCCCCTGCTTGTGGCAGTAAACTTCCCCGCGAGAAGATCCTCCTTTTCAAGACGAACCCTGGAAAGGAGTGTTTTGATGTTGTTATTTGCATCCATGTATGCCTGGCATTCCCTACCCCCCTCACCGCCCCCCTTACTCTCTCTTAAAGCCATCTAAACAGCCTAGAAAAGAGCATCTGTTTCCCCTGGATTCTGCGGTAGTGAGTGTTGCTTATTTTTTTTTTTAGGTTTCAGAAGCAGGCAGTGGGTACAAGATGTGAACTGTTCATCTTCTGCAGAAAAGGAGGCCTTTCGTCCCCTTCCCGCGACGGTGGGTATGGATCCTGGCTCCTGTCTTTGTGGCTGCCCTGGCGGCGAGGGTGTCGCGGGCTGTGGGTGCGTGCGTAGGAAGGTGTAGACAGTCTCCCTCTGCTTACTCCAGAAATGGCAGCGCTGAACTTTTCATGTGGGTCTGGGGTGGGGGGTAATTTTGGGGTGTTTATTGTTGCTCTTAAGGAGCCCTAGTGGCTCAGCGGTTAAGGACTTGACTGCTAACCGAAAGGTTGGGGGTTCAGACCCACCCAGTGTCTCTCCAGGAGAAAGACCTGGCGATCTGCTCCAGTAAAGATTACAGCCTAGGAAACCCTCTGGGGCATTTCCGCTCTGTCACATGCGGTGCTATGGGGGGAAGTCACTAGAAGGCATCTAACAACAACATTGTTCTGGGATCCCCTAAGAAACATTCATCGTTTCTTTCTCTGCTGGTTTTACAAGTAATATGGCTTTGGAGAGAAAAGGTAAAGGCTGTTTGTTCATTGCCCTTTCTTCTCAAGCAGCCAGGGAGTCTTCATCTTTCAAAGAGGAATATTTTCAGGTAATAAGAAATACCTACTGAGAGAACACGTTGGCCGTTCTTTCTGGGTTCCTGCTGCCACACTGAATGCTTACTGGATGGTTTGTTTCATCTGCCTCAGCTTGCTGAATCGGTTGAATTTCCCCAGTTTGCCTTCCGGTGGTTATTAATCTGTCGGTAGAAACTCCTTTTTTTCTGAATGAAGGGATAGGAGTGCCTGAGTATGTCAGACTCAGCAGAGGAGAAATATGGAGAAGGAAATTAAAAGTGGGAATAAGAGAGATGACAATTACTTTTGGTTTCATAATGGGTTTGTAAAAGTGACTGGTTAGGTTCCTGCAAATATTGTGATATAACAGCCAGCAGATTAGCACATGAATAATCAACCTTTGGGCTCCCGCTCCCCCCAACACTTCCTGTAAACCCATTGCCATGGAGTCATTCCGACCCATAGTGACTCTACAGGACAGAGTAGAACCTGCCCCATAGGATTTCCAAGGCTGCAGTCTTTATAGAAGCAGACTGCCACATTTTCCTCCCGCAGAGCCTCTGGTGAGTTTGAACCACCGACCTTTTGTTTAGCAGCCAAGTGCTTAACCACTGCACCACCAGGGCTCCTTCCTACCACTTTGCTTGAGAATCACTTGTTTGTAGATGCACTTACCTGTTGGTGGGTAACGTCTGCAAACTGATGTGTCCAGCACTTGCCTTAACAGTACATGTATTTGCCTGTACAGGAAAGCTGTAGCATTTGCTGGCTAGTTAAACACATCGTGCTTAGTTTGCTCTATCTGAAGGTCCTGTGTTGGGAGTTCATAGTGTGTTTTAGGGTTAAGAAATAGTGTGTTTCTTTTTATAGTTTTCTTTTTCTTTTCAGTGATTTGAGATGGTTGTCTCAGGTATGAGAAGGGAACACGATACCTTTTCTCTCCTTCATCTGGATATTGCTGAAAGGTGGGATGATTTTGAGGCAGAATAGGAAAGAGCATTCATTGGTTTTGGAGTCAGATCTGGGTTTTAATCCCAGTGTTTCTGCCACTTACTAGTGGTACTATTGGATATCTCTTTGGACCTCACTTTTCTTATAAGATCATTGTGAGGGTTGAATAAGAATATGTACGCATAGTAGCATATTGTTTAGCTACTATAAAAGGCTTGGCTGCTATCGTGGCTGGGCTGGCAAAGGAGATTCAGAGGACAGAATGACTCTGCATTAGGTGCTCTGACAGTGACTAATGTTTCTTCCTCCTTAGTATAAGGAGAAAAAGGACTTTAGGTGTTGAGCTGGGTAAGGGGTCTTCTTTGTCGGGAAAGATTTCACCATAAACCCTCCCTTGATCCTCCTATCACCCTACCAGCTGTTGTGCTGCCCTCTTGTGGTTTGCTGTGCTAAGAACTTTCTTTTCCTCCTCCCCCATTAACACTTTTTTTTTTTTCTCTCTCTCTCTCTCTCTTTTTTAGACTCCTAATGGGTTTGGATTTTTGGTTTCCCTTAGTTCCCAGTTTCCTGAACTGTGTGCTAAGATTCCTGTAGAGCACCAGTGAACTCCTCCTTTAACTACTAACTTGAAGTAGTTCACAGTTTGAGCATTAGATTACTACGTGACAATGTCATATCTTTGTAAAGCTGTGTTTTCAGAGATAGTTTTGGTAAACGCAAGTACTGTGTCAAAATCAGTGTGGAACCGGAAATCAGGGTGTGGTGTTGTCCAATCTGATATCAAAGTTGGAGAAGTTGTACAGTATCCAACAGGGACTAAGTTGTAAGGATATCAGTCCTTACTAAGTTGTTTGGACCTATCTGCTTTGGTATTTCTTTTAGCGTAGGGATGCCATACAGTTAGTCAGAAAGGACTTGAAGGCAATAGATGTAGTTTTCTTGGTTTAAGGGTACCCTGAATGGAGAAAGTTTGGGAATCTCTGCCTTAGCTCTTGTTGTGTATGCTTTGAGGAACTAGAACTTATACTGGCTTTTCTGATAAAACTATTGATACAAAATTCATATCAGCTGATCATGGCTTAATAGATTTCCTCTCATGTAATGTCTTTATAACTCCTGTCCATTTCTTTCACCCTAAAACTAATAGTTGCATTGCTTACTTCTCATTTTAGTTACTTCTTGGTTTTTTAAGTACTGGTTTTCTACTAGTATTTCTGATCATCTCCTTAAACTCAGCATACCCCAAATGAAAAACATTTCATACCCCTTTGTAATTTCCTTCTCGGTCGTGTAGGCTTTAAATTAGGCATCATCTTTAAACTATCTCTTTCGTTTACTTCTTGTATTAACCATTTAACATGTCTGTCTATATTGTCTCTCCATCTCTCCTTTCTTTCCTTCACTATCTGAATTCCAAGACTAGTTTCCTCAGCCTAGAATATTGAAAGTCACATCAGCCTCTAAGAATCCAACGTCTCTTTTATATTTATCCTCAGTGGGGATTTCACTCCTTTTTGTGGCATTCTCTTGCCCCCAAATCTTCAGTGGCTTCCCATGTTCTACCTATTAAATATAATTTCCTTTTCCTGGCTTTCAGGATACCCTGTTATCAATCCCTGCCCTATGTATTCAGTCTTTTATCTGAGGACCTTCAGCAAGCATTCCCTGCTGTAGTCTTGCAAGCTGGTTTCTACATTTTCTAATAACAAGCTATGAATATTACATTTTTTAGCTTTCGCTCATGTTCTTTATCCTTCCACACCAAGCCCAATTCTACCCCTTATTTCACTGTTCACCAGGTGTGGAGCAACTGAGTAGTGCCTCAGTCTCCTCATCTGAAAAATGGGGATAATTATGGTACTTTCCTCATAGGGTCATGGTGAGAAGTAGGTGAGTTAAAACATAAAAAGCCCTTAAAATCAATGCTGGCACACTAAGTACTCCTTAGGTGTTAGCTATTATTATTGCTACTATTATGCTACTATTGCTGCTATTTCTATTACTACACTCCCAGTTACATTTTACCTTTTTTATGAAACTGTTTCTCACTAAATACTGCTTTCACCTCCCCTCTACTTTTGTATAGCTTTTTGTCTTAGAACACCTTTAGACAGTTTAATTATATACCATGCTTTGGTTGTTTGATACTTATTTCCCTAGTAATAGCCATAGATTTTCAAGTTGATTGTGTCTGCTTTGAGGAACCACCTTAGGTTTTAAAAACACACACATAGTGCTGAGCACAGGGGGAGTATTCAATAAATACACATTGGTTGATTGTATATTAAAAAGGAACTTTAGACAGTCACCAAACATTTATTAATACCTACAGTGTACAACCACCACGTGTCTGTCAGTTTATCGTACTGTGGGGGCTTGTGTGTTGCTTTGATGCTGGAAACTATGCCACTGGTATTCAGATACCAGCAGGGTCACCCATGGTGGACAAGTTTCAGCTGAACTTCCAGACTTAAGACACACAAGGAAGAAGGACCTGGTGGTCTACTTTTGAAAAGAATTAGCCAGTGAAAACCTTATGAATAGCGGAGCATTGTCTGATACAGTGCCGGAAGATGAGTCCCCCAGGTTGAAAGGCACTTAAAAGATGGCTGGGGAAGAGCTGCCTCCTCAAAGTAGAGTTGACCTTAATGACATGGATGGAGTCAAGCTTTCAGGATCTTCATTTACTGATGTGGCATGACTCAAAATGAGAAGAAACAGCTGCAAACATCCAGTAATAATCAGAAAGTGGAGTGTATGAAGTATGAATCTAGGAAAATTGGAAATCGTCAAAAATGAAACGGAACACAGAAACATTGATATCCTCGGTGTCAGTGAGCTGAAATGGACTGGTATTGGTCATTTTGAATTGGACAGTCATATGATCTACTATGCTGGGAATGACAACTTGAAGAGGAATGGTGTTGCATTCATCATCAAAAAGAACAAGATCTATCCTGAAGTACAATGCTGACAGTGATAGAATAATATCCATATGCCTGCAAGGAAGACCAGTTAATAGGACTGTTATTCAAATTTATGCATTGACCACTAAGGTCAAAGATGAAGAAATTGAAGATTTTTACCAGCTTCTGCAGTCTGAAATTGATCGAACATGCAATCAGGATGCCTTGGTGATAGAAACGATGCTGGAGATCGCATGATAGAATTTTGCAAGACCAACGACTTCTTCACTGAAATGGTGACTATAAACATGGACCTCTCCAGATGGAATACACAGAAATCAAGTCTACTACATCTGTCGAAAGAGACGATAGAAAAGCTGAATATCATCAGTCAGAACAAGGCCAGGGGCTGGCTGCCGAACAGACCATCAATTGCTCATGTGCAAGTTCAAGTTGAAATTGAAGAAAATTAGAACAAGTCCATGAGAGCCCAAGTCCGACCTTGAGTATATCTCACCTGAATTTAGAGACCATCTCAAGAACAGATTTGATGCGTTGAACACTAATGACCGAGGACCAGACGAATTGTGGAATGACATCAAGGACATCATATATGAAGAACGCAAGAGGTC